TATATATATATATATATATATATATATATATATATATATATATATATATATATATATATATATATATATATATATATATATATATAATTTTTTATTTTTACCATTTAAAATCTTAATAAAGAAGATAACTCGTCACAATAGCACTTTCATGACAGCGGACTTGCGATTGTGCCGTACTCACTTATGATTTTTGCATCGTTTACGATCAAGCGACGTATACTCGAGCCTCTGACCCCGGTTCAAGAAGAAAGTTTTAGAAACGGGATAAAGAGTTTTGAAAGTAAGATTTGAGAAATTGAAATTAGTGTTATGTGGGAGGTAACGGAGCAACAATAAAAAAAATAAAAAAAAATCTATTTTAAATTCAATAAAAAAATTAAGAGAATAAATTAAATTTTCATAATATTTAAACTATATATATAAAATAATATAGTTGGAAGTTGAGGTTGGTTAATGCAATCAGCAATCAATTGATTTAGAGTAGGTGAAGTGTATGATAAGATGGGTCTCCCACTTTTATTTTGGTGACCCACTAATTTTACTTTATTTACAATTGGGCCCACAATATAATTTTGCATAATTTGCAAAGAAACCCCCCAATTTCTTCCCATTTTAGCCCTAAACAATTCATTTCCTTTAATCAATTTCTTGATTTAGTTTGGGTTTTCCTATCAATTTCGATTAATGTTGTTTGATATGGTTGAAATTTTTCATTAATAAAAAAAAAAAAATTGTTTATTGGGCCGGGTCGGGTCGACACGTCACATACAAAAAAGAAAGTAAATTTAAGAAATTTGGTGGCATACGAGACGTAAACATCACCTAGTTAATGACGGTACTAGGTGATGCGTTTTAAAACCTTGAGGAAAGCATGAAAGGGAAAACACAAAGAGCACAATACCAGGTGATGTTCCAGCGAGAATGTTGTTCCTTGAAGGGGAGTAGACACGAGGCGTTGTGCCAGTAAGATCGTTGGACCCTGAAGCGGGAGGAATGTGATATCCTACATTGGTTGGGGAGGAGAACTAAACACCCTTTGTGAAACCTTTCGTAGCAGAAGCATTTTAAAACTCAAAGACAACAATATCTGTTACCGATGGGTTGTTACATACTTCGTGCAACCAGTTACTATCTATTATTTGATTGACTAATTCTTTATATTGCAATGGCTAAAGAGTCAAATGTTTTGGCAATTCCTGAAGTGGGGATGAATCAAGATAATTTTGAATCAGTGCTCTCAATTTTTTTTCATCCTTTGCTGTAATAATATCTCGGGGTTTGCAACGATAACTTGCTATAGATCCGCTAGAAGTGGAACTTTAAATTTTAAAATGAGCTAATACATAGCATTCCAACCTCCAGAATCATTAATGACTATTATAACAGTGAAATCTATTTTTATGTGATATTAAAATGAGAGAATGTTACATAAGTCCCTAAACTTTAAAAATAGTTTAATTTATCAGAGGTATGGTTGGCGTAGTTGACTTCGATATTCAAATTTTATTTATAATTTCCTCCAACATTAAAAATAATAAAGTATTTGTATTTGAAGTAAATGCATTTATTAGGGAAGTGGAGCATTAATATTTTGTAAGCATTAAAAATAAATAATAATAAGTATTGTTGTTAAATTATTGGTCTAAATTATGGTTGAAATCACATGGATTGGTATTGTGTGGTAAAATAATAACCATCCTCAACTGTATTATACGCCCACCTCACTCCATTTTTAATTACTTTATATATATAAATAAGCCGATGTCTCAAAAGATGTGACATTCAAGTAAAGAAGGATTATATGAATAAATCGAAACCATATCCGAACGAAAGCAATCTTGAGGATATAAATGGATCAATTAGGTCATTCGGATTTTGAATTCTGATCCGAATCCTAGACATGGGTCGTAATAGAATAAGATGTCTTAAAAATCTAAGAACGGTAATTTCATATAAAACAATTGATTTGTTTCCCATGGAAAGGAACCTACACTAAACCCTAATCGATCGAGTATTAATGTCTCTAAACCCTAATCGATCGAGTATTAATGTCTCTCATATGTTCAAATCTACTTATTTAATTCTTTTTAAAATAAAGGGTCTATGCCCACACTAGGCCTAAGATTTTAGAGATCGATTTTCTTTGCTAAGCAATTTGAACACGTGATCTCTAATTTTATGCTACTTGGAAACTGAAAGAGTAGTTGATTTAATTGTGAAAGGACGGTTAAATGATAAGTTTAGTTCATAAACGTTAAGGTTTGTGTTTATCAATCGTTAATTGATCTCTCTACAGTAAACGTGTTTAATAAGTCTCCAAATTTTCAATTTTATAACAATTAGTTGATAAATTTTAAATAATGTCTAACACGTCTTGAGACCTTTTTTATATTTTCTCCAAATTCACGAATCTACTCAACACAAGAAAATTAAAAAGTTTAAGAACTTATTAGACATTTTTAGAGGATAATAACCTGTCAGACATCTTAAAGATCAATGATCACCAAATAGACAGGATTCTCAAAGTTCATAAACTAAACTTATAATTTAACCAAAAAAAAAAAAAAAAATTATAATTTCATATATTTCAAATCGAAAGGTAGGTTAACTAACGAAAGAAAGATGGAATCAAATGCATTCTTAAAAGGAAGCTTTTTGCCTTACCTACCTATGATGCAAAATCAAATCGGATGATGCAAGCGGGAGGGAGTCCCCAGTTCATGTGAAATGTAGGTTTAACCGAGGTTATGGCTTCAAGGATGATTAGCACCTGGAAGTCGACATCATCTCACCAAACTCATCCGTCAGTGTCAGGCGATGTTCTTCCTGTCATCTCTACTAAATTGCTGTATGCGTGAAGTTTCCCTAAAATCTTAGATTCTCAGTAGAAACATGACATTATAACACAAGTAACAGAACTGCAGAGACAGCAGCTCAGAGACAAGAGTGCTTTCTGTGTCAAGCATATAGATAGTTCACAAAAACAGCTTTATAAATTACACATGGAAGTCATCTACAGCCTAAGAAAGGTAAAAGAAAAGAGTTCTCTAAGTTCTTTGTGCTCCTAGTGATAATGGTATTATTACAACAGGTGTTGGTTATGATGCAAACTTACTGTTCTTTTAATGTTGAGAGGAGGGTTGGAGTTGGATGTGTGGACAAGGCCTTTCTGGTTCTCCTCTTGTCCAAAGAATCTTAAGATCCCCTCTTTGCTTTCCCAGTGTCAAAAATGTGCCTGCAATGAAGTCAAGATTTTTCTTTTAAAAAATGCCTCTACTTCTCAATTTGTTGGTAGGATGGCGGATTGGGTAATAGAACTATGGTACTTACCAAGGGTGAAAGGAACAATGTAAAGCAACGCCGGTTGGCCATGTCCATCCATTAAATTCAGAGCTACATAAGTGATGAGGAGGCCTGAAATGCATAATGAACAAAGACAAGTTCGGATTATGAGTATCACGTTTTGAATGTTTAGTCCCTGATTTTGCTATGTTCCGAAGAACTAAACGAAGAACACGAACGGGCAACGAAAGAAAGATATACTACGAAAAAGGCCTCCAATTATTGAAGATAGGAGACAAAATGAAGTAATAACCAGTTTGGAGTTTGTCTTTTTACATAGATTCTGTGTTTATCATACCTGTTCCGTAAGCAGTCATTGCCCAAACGAAATAACCTGCTCGGAGTTTCTTCTTTGCAAGCCAATCATATCTGCACAAATTTGGCAATCCACCGTTTAGTGCCATGGACGGTTGACTTATATCCGAACTAAAAGAACAGACATTTTCATAGGCAAATGGCACTCTTGCTAGGAATTATTAGAATGCAAATGGTAATCTTGGACGATGAGATTGACACAAAAGTTTGCAGAATAGTGAGATTAGGCAAAAACAGGAGGGAATTTCATGGTTTTTAAAAACCCAAATGGAAGGCCAGATAATCTTGACGTTTCAGCTTTTTCCATCTCAGACACTAAATCTGTTCCCTATTTTTTCTAAACTACCAAGAAATTTCTAAGAAAACGTTGTCAACGTTTACATTTTGAGAATGAATTGAGGATGCGTGTAACTGTCAAGCCCACCGCTTGCAGATATTGTCATTTTTGGGCTTTACCTTTCGGACTTCCCCTAAAATGCGTCTGCTAGGAAGAAGTTTTCACACCCTTATAAACAATGTTTCATTCTCCTCTCCACCGATGTGGATTGTGAGATCCCACGTCGATTGGAGAGAGGAACGAGTGCTAGCGAGGACGCTGGCCTCAAGGAGGTAGATTGTGAGATCCCATATCGGTTGGAGGGAAGAACGAAACATTTCTTATAAGGGTGTGAAAACCTCTTCCTTGCAAACGCGTTTTAGAAACCTTGAGGGGAAGCTCCAAAGGACAAGTCCAAAAAGGACAATATCGGCTAGCAATGGACTTGGACAGTCATTGTAACTACCATTGAATTGAATTGCCACCATTGAATTGAGTTGCCAGTTGACCAGTTTGAGATAGAACCACTTAGGCCAAACTTACTTGTATCCTAAATGAAGGAACAGTATACTTAAAAAATTGTTGTACTCGTGGTTTTCACCTTAGTGAAAATGCGACTAAAAGTCCTGGCAAGATAATATCACCAAACCCGATAATGCTGTACCCTCCCCAAGGATCAAACATCCGTGGAATCTTTAGCAGCATGGGTATACCATCTTCTCCAGTCTTATCACCGCGAGCAACCTGAAATTCCCAAAAAGATAAGACAAGGTCCTGAATTCTGATAGAAACAAACAACATTGCCTATATACAACAATGAAAAAGGGGATGCCTTTAACAAACAACTCACCACTATCATAACACTCTCGTGGAACCACCATTTCGAGACAAATACCCAAAAAATGTCATACAAAAAGGCACAGCTGAGGAGAACCGTCCCAACCTGATAACAGAAAACAAATTGAATAACTTAAAATTTGAGTTTTCAATTGCGACTGTCCTACAATTTCCAGATCCAGTGTTCATTGCACTAATGTTTTCTTCTACAATTTCCAATTATCTACTCATATGCCAAAATCAGTTTGATGGAATTTTCCACAAAATTGTTCAATTTAGAAACTACGGTCTACTAACCTAAGCCCAGAAGAAAAAGTTCAAAGAGGATAATATTTGCTAACGGTGGGCTTGGGCCGTTACAAATGGTATCAGAGCCAGATTTCGGACGATGTGCTAGGGAGGAAGGGGGTGGACACGAGGCAGTGTGTCAGCAAGGATGCTAGGCCCCGAAGGGGGTGGACACCAGGCAGTGTACTAGCAAGGATGCTAGGCCTCAAAGGGGGTGGATTGTGAGATCCCACATCGGTTGGGGAGGAGAACGAAACATTCTTTATAAGAGTGTGGAAACCTCTCCCTAGTAAACGCGTTTAAAAACCTTGAAGGGAAGCCCCAAGAGAACAATATCTACCAGTGGTGGGCTTGGACAAACAATTGTTGCATGAAAAGGGGCCTCTCAAGCAATAATATCACTTGTAGCTTTCTTTTTCTTTTTCGATTAAAAGATCAAATAACTTTTCATTTGTATTAGTTCTGTTATCTATATTATGAACATTTGCTATTTTCTGCATTGAATATACGATACAACTACTTCACATAACCATTATCTATGCCTAGTGCCAGAGCCTCACTGCATATCCCTACCTAAAGCAAAGTGGAGGACAGGGCACCAACATTAGCAGCACTTGCACTTGTATGATGCATGACATTGCATTTCCTTCTTTTATCTATTCGGTTCTACCGTATAACATTATAGATACGTGTCCTTTTTCACAATAGTTCATTAAAATATTCATTATCACATATGATGTAATTTGCTTTAGTTGCTAGAGATTTTCAATTAGAAACTTATCAACTATACTCCACAATATACCTTCACAAGTCCATACTAATTGATAGAACTGAAAATAGGAGACAACAAATTACCCGACTATAGGAGACAGTAGATCATATCTTTCGTTACAAAATTTTATATATTTTTGTTAGAATTTGTTCAGTTTATTAAAATCGTGGTGTCTAATGGAGAAAACATGTGGAAGATAGCAAACCTGGAAATGTATGCAGCACAAAAGTTACCTTGAGATTAGGAACTCGAACAATCTGAAGGACTGTAACTATGAGTGCAATACCCTGATTTAAAGTGGAAACAGGAAGTCATTTCAACAAAGTTTTAATGAAATCACATCAAACAAATGAACTGACATTATAATATGATATAAATCAAACTAATTGTAAACATGAACTGTAACATTAGTGTGGATCCCGACAATTTTAGTAGCTAAATTATAGATACTCCTAAAGGGAGTGGACGCAAAAGAAGTTCAAAGATATTCCTAAAGGGAGTGGAAGCCTTAAGGCGCTGGACTTCGGCATGTATGAAATTACAGAATGCAAGCCCACTTACATGCACCTAGCGCTAAGGAGTTCATCAAGCTGTTCTGTAAAACACTGCTCCAGTCAAGCAAACCGGCTAATACATAGCCGTCAAATAAATTTTAGAACAATCTAACTTCCTCAACCTTAGGTGTATTGCCAGTAAGAACGTCCTAAGCAGGTGTAAGTAGGATTCTAACCCTCAGTAACATGTTCAAGTGTAAATGCAGTAGATAAATAACAAGAAGTGTACTTTTTGCTTCTGTCGGAATATTTCTCTCAAGTATTTTCTGAGACATGATTGATAATGTTATTCTCTTGTTTTATGAACTACGTTTTCTTATCCTCCCAGAAAAACAATATTCTCAAATTCCAAGTCAATCAAAATAGCTCCCACTATAAAAGAAAATCCACAACTTCTCCCATTTCAGAAGATATGCACTGTTAAACCAGGTTATATTTCAACTAAACATTTACTAAAGAATTAATAATTCAAAAGAGCAGGAAGGAATACAAAATATCCAGCCTAGTCATGCCAAGAAAGGTGTACAAATTTTATACATCAAGTTGTGAAGAGCGCAAATCAGAACTCAAAAAATACTAGAGTATTGAATATTACTCTGATATTAAAAATTAAAATAAAAAATATATTTAAGGAACAAAAGTAATGGCTAATATTTGAGGCTCAACTTGGGAACAGCTACCTGCCACTTCCCCATAAGAGGGAGGGGGAAGATTGATTAGGATAAAAATCTATCGTGTGGCCCCCAATTAACCCAATAGAATTCTGTCTGTTCTAATAATAAAGAAAAAAGGTACTTCTATTTATTATAAATATCAATAACCCATCATTTTCACTTATGAAAAAAATAAATTGGCTATTCCATTAGTCCATGAATTCGGACACGAATTCTAGATTGAAATAAAAGAAAACGTTAGATCCAAATTAAGCAATGAAGCAAGTAAATTGGAAGAGTGGAAACGGTGATTTCTTACAAGGATATCTTGTCCTATCCAAGCAAAAGGCAGTTTGCGGTAACATGCCCAAAGAACCGCAAATGCTATGCAGAAAGGAGAAACTGCCAACGTCAAATGGGACACGGCTCCAAGGATGGGAAATTTGACGTATGACTCAGCAGCATGTTCAAACCATCTGAAACTATAGTTCTTATGTCATCAGTTTCATCCCGCTAAAAAATTGAAAAAAAATTGAAAAAAAATATATATATTATGGAAAATTTCAAAAATAATTCAAAATGCCATCCTCTCTTCCCCAATACCTATAGAAATAGAGTGCCATGCTAGAAAATTTTAATATCTAATGAAATTAATTAACTATTAATCAGTTAAGAGAGTGGTTCGGTGCAAGGTGATTGTGAATGTTTGATTAATCCACCACACCCAAATGGTGGTGAGAGTTCTCTTATTTATAATCATTTACAGAATACAGAAATAAGGTAAATTACAAATAATAAGGAAATAGCGATAAAAGGAAAGAATAATAAATGAATACAATATATTTGCATTTAGTAAAAGAGAAAATATGGTAACCCGTAATGTAAGGTAAGGCAGATATTTGCCTTAATGAACGGTCAACTATCCTTAACACCCCCCCGCAAGCTGAGCGTCGGATTTGAACGAACATGAAGCTTGGATCTGAAAAATTCAAAAAGAGGTCGAGAAATACTCTTTGTGAAGATGTCAGCAACTTGGAGATGAGAGGGTACATATTGTGTACGAAGTTTGCCAGCGATAACAAGTTCTCGAAGGAAATGATAATCTAGTTCAACATGCTTGGCCCGCTTGTGAGAAACAGGATTAGAGCTCAAAAAAATAGCACTTTTGTTGTCACATAAGAGTAAGGGCTGCTGTGAAATAGGGACCTTGAGGTCATGCAAAAGATGCGTAACCCAAAGAAGTTCAGCAGCAGTTGTGGCAAGAGCACGATACTCAGATTCACAGCTGGAGCGTGATACAGTAGGTTGCTTTTTGGCACTCCAAGAAATGAGATTGTTACCAAGATAAATAGAATAGCCGGATGTAGAACGACGAGTATCGGGACAACCAGCCCAGTCAGCATCCGAATAAGCGACTAGCGTACTAGGAACAGTGGATGGACGAAAGATAAGACCAAAGTGGAGTGTTCCTTTGACATAGCGAAGAATACGTTTGACAGCAAGAAAGTGATCTGCAGTAGGGGCATGCAAGAATTGACTGACAGAATTGACAGCATAGGCAATATCTGGACGCGTGATAGTCAAGTACTGAAGGGCGCCAACAAGAGATCTGTAGAGAGTAGGATCAGAGAAAGGAGAACCATCAGCAGTCAGGTGTTGAGAAACAACCATGGGAGTGTGAACTGGTTTGCTATCGAGCAACTGAGCACGAGTAAGAATATCTCGAGCATATTTTAACTGACTGATAAAGAGACCATCAGGAGTGGGTGAAGCTTCAAGACCAAGAAAGTAACTGAGAGAACCCAAATCTTTGGTAGCAAACTCAGAATGAAGCTTGCGAGTAAAGCTGTTAATAAGAGATGAGTTGTTGCCGGTAACAATAATGTCATCAACATAAAGAAGCAAATAGATAAGGTTAGATTGCTGATGAAAGACAAAAAGGGACG